CTCCCTCTGCCCTGCTGCACCTGCAGGGCTGGCGCCGGGCTGAAAAAGGGGTGCCTTCTCTCTCCGTAGGTGCTGCGGACTCCTCCTGCGCCCCGCTGCTCGACAGGGACTCGCTGCAGCTGCCCGAAGGTAGGGACCCGGTGCTGCCTGCTCCCCGGCCGCCCCCGGCCGCGAATGAGCCGCGCTCAGCCCCTCCTGTTCCCCGCAGGGCTCTCGGTGCTACGGGTGGCGTACGGGGACGTGTCTCAGCTCGGCGTCTTCTGCACGGACCCCATCTCCAAAGGAGTCCGCTTCGGCCCTTTCCAAGGCAAAGTGGTCAACACCAGCGAGATCAAGACTTACGACGACAACTCGCTGATGTGGGAGGTAGTGGAGGCACCGCCGGGCTCCCCCACACTCCCTAAACGGGGCTGGGCGGTCGGTGGGATTGGTGCGAGTGGTACGTGTGTGGAAAGGGTCGGTCAAACCTGATCCTTTTCTCCCCGCTCTCCAGATCTTTGAATACGGCCGCTTGAGCCACTTCATAGACGGGAAGGGCGCCTCTGGCAACTGGATGTCCCTGGTGAACTGTGCCAGGTTCCCCGAGGAGCAGAACTTGATGGCTCTCCAGGTCCAGGGCCAAATCTTCTACGAGAGCTGCAAGGACATCTTGCCGAAGCAGGAGCTGCTGGTGTGGTACGGCGATTGCTACGTGCAGTTCCTGGGTATCCCCATCAGCCTGAAGGGCATGCCGGAGGGGAAGAAGCCCTCGGAGCATCCCGAAGGTGAGCCTGCCGCCGACCCCTCCAGGGCCACTGCCACGTAGTCTCGTGGACCCGGGTCTGGCCGGGGTTAGACCCATATTAAGGGAAGTGAAGAAACTCGGGTATCACTTTTTTCCCAGCGGTGTTTTACTTTAAACCCTTCCCGGTCCCTGTGGTGAGCGGGTGGCGGGGTGACCGACCCTGCTGCGGGGATGCTCTGGGCTGGCGGTGGCCCCGCTCCTACGCGTCTGCCCGCCCTCCCCTTCCCTTGCAGCCTTCAGCACCCCAAAAAGTAGCATCCCCCCGGCACCAAGAAGCCCGGGGATTGCACCTAGGGCTGCTGTCAGATCGAAGCAAGAGGCACCTCTTGCTCGCGTTTCCTCGGGGATTTATAGGGTTAAAGGTGTTAACCTGGCTGCTGTAAAACATCTGGTACTGGGCTGAGCTTGCCTCGGCACACTTTTTTTGGGGGGGGGGGGGGCGGCGCGTTTTGGGAGGAGAAAAGCTTTTGTGGGGTATTCCTGGCTTTGTCCTGCTTTATCCTACGATTACAGACTCGTGACTTAAAAAAATTTTTCTTGTAATTAACACTCAGTAAATGAGGCAGCCTGAAGTAGTTCCGATGCGGTAATGCTGATACTGCTTGCAGAAGAGACACCAGACGCACTTACTTTTTCGGGAGTAGTTCCACTTCTAATGCGCGGAAAGTGCGGCGTCCTTATAAAGTTAGATATGGAGGGAACAAATCAGTGACGATGCAGGGAAGGCTGAAGCGGGTGAGGGATGGGCCGGCTGGGTGCACCTGTAAGGAAGAGACGTTTTTGGCAAATTGACAGAGAAATTTTAGTAGCTGTTGTCTTAAAGTGCCTGGTTCAGATAGCTGGTAAATTGTTAATTTCGTTTTAAGGCGTAAGCCAAAGTTATTTTTATTAGAAGCAGAAAAGGATGTGTAAACATTTGAAAAGCTTCCTGTGTTGTTCCTAAATCCGGTGATTAAAAACCGCTTAAAATACAAAAGAAAACCAAATAAACGTCTTTTTGTTCGATAGTATTTTGAAAACTTAAAGAAGATGTGCTCATTTATTTTTGTTTTCGGGATGGGAGGTAAGCTTTACGGACGAGGCAATGTTTCTGTGTAGGGAGAAGCTTTTAGGTGGGACTCAGCGTTGGTTTTTCACATATTCGCTCGCTGTTTATGGGGCTAAAGGGATGAAATCCTGTCTTTGCTGAAGTCAGTAGCTAAAACAAATAATTTTATCAGGCTGTGGACTGTAGTTTGTTTCCCTCCCTTTAAAAGGCAAGCGGAGCAGTGCGAACGCACGAAACATCGGACGTGTATTTTGTTAAATACGTTGCCAGAAGCCGTTTACCGTTATTACCGTCCCGGAGACTTAAAATTCTCCTTCGTGTACGGGCTCTTACGAGGAAGGGGGTCTGAAATGAGCCCCTTTTGCTGTGGTGTAACGAGGAGATGGCCCTTTCCCTTCTGCCGTACAGAAGCTGGGGAGAGCTTTAAGTGCGAGCGCTGCGGCAAGGTTTTTGCCTACAAGTACTACCGGGACAAGCACCTCAAGTACACCCGCTGCGTGGACCAGGGGGACCGCAAATTTCCTTGTCACCTCTGTAACCGCTCCTTTGAAAAAAGAGACAGACTGAGGATCCACGTTCTCCACGTTCACGAAAAGCACAGACCTCACAAGGTGAGCCTGCTCCTGGAGCTCTCCGCGGTTACTGGGGGGACTGGTTAAGGAGTTGTCTTTGGCCGTGTTAGGGTGCTGGTGTTCCTCCTTCTCCAGTTTCCCTGGCGGGACCAGTCTGCCTGTACAGGAGGAGTTTGTCTTGTGCAGCAGAGCTCAGTGGAAGAAATTTAATGAATTGATATTGGGAAAATAAACCCCACAGTCTCAGTGAGAGTTTAAAAAACCACAATATTTCTCCTGGGTTTTTTGGATGTTTGCATGTTTTGCTACTTTTCTCACACCGTGTGGGGCTCAATTGTGCTTAAAGCTGTTCCACTTGTGAAAGATGAAGAGAACTATATCTTGTGGTCCTCACTCCCCCATTCAGCCTGACAACCGAAAAACGACTCTGTCTGTTGGATACAACAGGAGTTAAAAGATTTAAAATTCAACGTGAAGCAGATTTGCAAATTATAGAATCAATTCTTTGTTGAGATACTTCATCTCCACCAAAAACCTCCGTGTAGCATCACTTTTCTTTAGGAGCACTGCAAATGGAAAAGCACTTTTACTAAAGGCTTGGGAAGAGCAAGTTCCAGTGCTTGAAATGGCAGTTTAGAATACCAGGAAGATAAGCTTATTCTGAATATATTGAATTTATATGAGATCAACTCAAAAAGCAAAGATTAAAAAAAAGTCAGTTACAAAATTACCTTCTTTCAAGATTGGCCATAGCTTAGTTTATTTTGAACTTATGAATAACTTTTTCAATTTAGTTGTAGGAGGGAAAAATGTTTTGGGGCTCATACAATTTGCACTGAATTCAGTGCAAGTCTCTCAAATTACTTCAGTCCCGGAGCACACGCGACACAGCAGCTCCTTAGGGGGGAAGGATGATGCTTGTTTAATTCCTGAGGAGAAGCACTCTGACAGATGAAGCTGTAGGCGCAGTGCTGTGACTGACTTACCATTCCTGAAAAATGGTTATTGTTTTCAGAAGTCGCCTTCAAATTTTTTTTTAGGATGTTTACCTTTTAAGCAAAAATTTAAAATGACAACTGGAGCTTTATTTACAGAAATTTTCAGATTTTGATAACCAAACGTCAATTGTCTGCCTGTGTTCTGAAGGACAAATTTAATTAAACCATTTTAACCACATAAAAGAGAGCTTTGAAATTTTGCATGATTTTCCTTCTTTTTTTAAAAAAAATGTTCTTGAAACCAGATTAAAATTCTGACTATTTCAAATTGTTACTACTTAAATTACTGCTGTTTGTTATATTCATGAATACATAAATATATATGTAGATAAATATATGTAATACTTAATTATATACATTAATATACATAGGAAAATGCATGCACACATCATCCACATACCTATTTTTTCTTTTTAGCTATGCTCTTGTGTGCTTCCTTTTAACTCTATCCTTTTTCTTTCCCTCAGTGCTCAGTGTGTGGGAAGAGCTTTTCTCAGTCCTCCAGCCTGAACAAACACATGAGGGTTCACTCCGGGGAGCGCCCCTACAAATGTGTCTACTGCAACAAGGTAAGGCAAAGCCTCGTCTCATGTCTGTGCCCCAGCCTGTCCCTCTGTCTGTCTTCTACAGCGCTCAGCATCACCTCACGCCTGGGGGGAGGGTGGATCTTTCCATACTTCTTTTACTATTAATTTTTCTTTTCTGATTTCTTTAAAGAAAATATCTGCTATTTATATTGATATCAAGATGAGTATGGATTCAGGGTGCAACTGTGAGTTGGAGTAACAACCAGTTGGTTCTGGTCTCTGTGCTCCTGCTCTCCATCTGATGTGGAATTTGTGTTTCATCCCAGCTTGGAGAGCTGTTGCAGGGATAAGGTCTAGGAAAGCTTGAGAGCATTTCAGATACCATCCAAGGCACCCAGCTAGATCCAATATTTCCCTTTTTCATTGGATAGATTTTTATATTTCTGACACTGTTTCTGGAATAGAGTGAGCAGATTTGGTCCCCTAAACTGAACCTGCATGATACGTCTTTGTGCATGCTTACCTTGAAGTAAGAGGGCCATTGATGTGCAACTGGGCATGGAGGTTTCATTTCAAAAAGAACATAAATAAAACCATACAGCACTGATCAAAGATGTTCTCAAGTGTTACTGCTCTTCACAGAAGGGATGATTCAGGTGAGATCTCCCTGTGAGAGCAGTGGCAGCTCTCCCAGCAGACAGAGGGCGGATATACAGGCTGCTGCTGGGTGAATATCAGTAGGGCTCCAGGTGCTGTGGAGTCTTGATGCAATGCAGAAGCACCGTAAGCATGTAGTAAGGTGTTCCTGATCTTGTAGAGGGAGGTGTTTTGTTTATGGCTGTCTGGACTAACAAGCACCTGAAGTGTCCTGTAGTAAGGTATCTCAAAAGAAACTCCTTTGGGCTATTATAGTTCTTTCCCTCCCAGACATCCTGAACACTTGTAGGCAGTGGATAGGATAAAATGTCATCCTTTCATCCTCTGACCACAAGAAGAGATGGCAGAGCTTTACAGGTTGCTCTGTGAACAGATCTCTCTAGGATATGTGGGACCCTGCTGAGCAGCCCCAGCCACTCTGGTAGGACCATTGCAGATTAGGTCAGATTAATCGGCTGCAGGACACAGCTGTCCTAAGATGTAGACATCATTTTTGTGGCTGGGAAACCAGGGGTTATTTTTAAGCATCCTCACCTGCTCCTCGTGCAGTCATGATTCGTCTTTGCTGCTTTTACTTCCCAACAGTGGTGGTGCTTCAGGGCAGTTTTGTTTTCCCTGCCCCTTTGCTCACTATCTTGGTAACATCGTGAGATTAAAGGAAAAGCTTTGGGGCTGGTCCTCAGACACACTTTGGCCCTCTTGATGTACACTTGGTGAGAATGCACCACTCTCTAAATGGAGGAGGACTCTTTTTGAGGAGGACAGAGTGATTGTGCATACTTTGCTACTCATAGTTTGCCTGTGTGGGAAAACAGGCTAGAAGCTCTGAATGAAGAAAGAGCAGAGTGTGATGGACCAGGGTAAATGAAACCCCAAAAGATGGGTGCTGGACTGCATGAATGAATGTTGGAGCTGAATCCCAAACCAGTGTACATGAACATGAAAGGGTTTAACTTTGGAAACTAAAACTGAAAGGGAAAACCTGCATTATTTGTTAAGTTATTTCCCAAACATAAAGGAGCTGCAAAGCTAATTAGAACAGTATTGACTTCTTATCTTTTGACATGGAAAAGATATTTACTGGTGTCTCTGGTCAGAAATCTTTCTCTGAGCTTCACCTAACTTCATGGGCTCAGCCACATATGTATAGCAATAGCTGTTGGCTTCTGGTTCCTCCTCGCTGCTGGGAGTTCTTGTTTTTCTCTAGTTATTGGAGGATGTGAGCTATTTGAAAACTTGTTTTCAGGATACATTGCTTATGATGGAAATGTGTTAGGTAAACCTCAGTATTATATATGTGAAAATAGATTATTTTCAACTCCTCCCCCCCTTTCTGATCCCTGCATTTCCAGGCATTCACAGCATCCAGCATCCTGCGCACTCACATCCGCCAGCATTCAGGGGAGAAGCCCTTCAAATGCAAGCACTGCGGCAAAGCCTTCGCCTCGCATGCAGCCCACGACAGCCACGTGCGCCGCACGCACAGCAAGGAGAAGGGCAGCACTTGCCTGGTGTGTGGCCAGCACTTCTCCGAGCAGGAGGATTACCACTTCCACATGAAGATTCACACCACCCATTAGTCAAGAGCCCTGCGGCCACGTCCTGAACCAGCTTCATGTGTGCATGTATTTGTGCATGGTTGTGCGCATGCTGCAGGAGGTGACATTTACCCTTGCAGCTGCTCTTTGGGTATGCCCAGTCTCTGGACACTGGGCATATTTCTTGAGTGCAGGGGTCAGGAGTTTATCTTGCCTGGGTACCCTGATGCCACACTGGGGTGAAGTCCAACATGCACTATCCCACCTTTCCCTTCCTTTCTTCCCATACCCTGATTTCCACAAAAGGAAAACACAGGCTGGAGGGAATTTCACCTCCCATGAACCTTTTGTGCATGGAAATCACTGTGAGGAGTGTTTCTGTGCCTCTAATGTACATCTATGGGCTGCCTGGTGTGAACTATACCAAAGCTTGTGTGAGGAACATTTCTATCCAAGCGTATTTCCCAAAGCTCATTTAACCTGATTTTGTTTAGTTTGGGTGCATCACCAGGCATGGGCTCTACTTCCTCTTATGTTGCCAGTTTTTTACTGAGTCTATTTGAATATGAACTACCTCAGAGATATTGACTGGTAGACCAGCATAGGGGTATTTAAATTTCTTCATTCAGCTGCCTGCATACAGGGAGCTCCAGGGCAATGAAACATACTTTTCCAGAGGATGCTGGGCCCTGGTTAGTCCAGGGTTTTTTTTCTTTTTTTCTTTTGTTTGTTCATTATTTTTGTGGTTTTGTTTTGTTTTGTTTTGGGGTTATTTTTGGGTTTTGTTTTTTGGGGGGATTGTTGGTTTTGGTTTGGTTTGGTTTGGTTTGGTTTGTTGTTTTTCTCTGTAGAAAGAGCTACTAATTTAGTAATGGGTTAGAAGAGGTACTCTGGGATCCTTTTCCTGAAAGCTCTGCTTTTGTTTCTTTTGCACTCTGACTTGGAGAAGGACTCAGAATAACACCTCAGACATCCTGTCCAGGCCCCAATCAAAACTGTCTTAAGTGCATAAAAGTATTTTCAAAATCATAAAAAAACCCCTTAATAAAGAGCATTCCCTGACCATGTGAAATCTCAGCTTGGTAGAGGCTTAGCAGAAGGTCTGTGCTGAAGGACCACAGAGTATAGGGAGTTCTGTAACTGGTGCAGAAACCTCTTCTCACATAGGCAGGGGGCTGTGCAATCGAGGGGGCTCCCTGTGGATTGGGGGTGGGACTGTGTATTGCATCTAGGAGGGAACATGGAAGCCCTTGCTGCAACTGGTTGATTAACACAGTTTGATGTCACTGGGATGATGTTCTCTTTATATCCTAGATCTGCTAGGATTAACACAGACTTTGCACATAAGTATAAAAGTTTTTCTTTTGTGCCAACCTTAACAATCTTTTTAACTACAGTATAGAACAAGAAAAAGTGTTACCTGCACATTTAATTATATCATGCAGATACTGTATCTATAAATATCTATTGATTTGCACTAATAGGGTTTATTATACCTTAAGTTGGTCTGTCCTCACTGTTTTAATGGTAAAATATTTTTTAAAATATTTATAGAACCACTCACTTGCAAGTAAAATATTGAGGCCCAGCACTAGACAGTATCTTAATAAGCAAGCCATTAGTATTGTACATAATGTATGTAGGTTTTAGAGTAGAATGAAGATTGCATTTTGTCTGATTTTTTATTATTTTAATATCAAAGATTCCTATAATACAGCAGGCCTAATTTTGTGCATATTGAGGGCTGAACTGGTGAGCTCTAACTAGGTAAAAACTCCTGAGGAAGTGGTACGTCTTCTGTAGTGCTTTTAGTTGTGTGCATTTTCTTATGCTTGAAGAATCCCCAAATATCTTGTACTAAAATATTCTTCTGCAGTTTTGTGTGGTGAGTTGTCTGTAAAAGAGTATGTGAAGGATTTTGTTTGTACTTGTGATTGAAGGTGCTGGTCATGCAAATTACACCTGTATATGCAAATTTTGATGCTTATTTTCAGATTATTACAGTGAAATTCATAGAATTAAAATAAATTATTAGAGGCTGCAGTGTACAGTAATGGGCTATAGGTTGTTTTCTTCCTGATACATTGGAGTTGTATATTTGAGATACCAGCAAATGGATGAAGGGTGTTTTCTATGTCATTTGTAAGTCATTATGGAGTGAAACAGCCTCTTAACGGGAACTGCAGTCCTTGTCCTGCTGGGTAGCAGCTGACTGCATTAGAAGTCAAAGGCACCCAGTGTCTTGATGGATGGGGACTTAAGTGTCCCAATAGGGCATCGAAGCCGAGGCCATTCAGTTCTGGATTGAGTTCACTCCCACCTGCAAGCAAGATGATGGATCCGGATTGAGCACTAAAAAAAGCACTTAACTACCCTATAGCATTTAACTACCCTATAGCATCGTGCTCTCCCTTCTGAATAGCGAGTCCCATCTGAGGCAGTGGGGGTGGCACTTGGCCAGCAGCACACTGCACAGCAGGGTGGGGAGACGTAAATCGGCAGGGAGCAGGAAGGAGGGCGGGCTGAGCTACCCTGCCAAGCTGCACCCGATTTTGGTCTCTTGCAAGGAAAATACAGTGATTTTCAGTGCAAATGTACTGCTGTCCTTGCCGGACAGAGTTTAGGAAAGATAGATTTCAGAGAATCAAAAAATCAGAACGGTTTGGGTTGGAAGGGACCCTAAAGATCATTCAGTCCAATCCCCCTGCCATCGGCAGGGACACTTCCCACTAGACCAGGTTGCTCAAAGCTCCATCCAACCTGGCCTTGAACACTTCGAGGGAGGGGGCATCCACAACATCCCTGGGCAACCTGTCCCACTGTCTCAGCACTTTAACAATAAAAAACTTCTTCCTTATATCTAATCTAAATTACCCTCTCAGTTTAATCACCCCTTGTCCTATCACTACCTGCCCTTGTAAAAAGTCCCTCTCCAGCTTTCCTGTCGGGCCCCTTCAGGTACTGGAAGACTGCAATAAGGTATCCCTGGAGCCTCCTCCAAGCTGAACAACTCCAATTCTCTCAGCCTGTCTTCACAGGAGAGATATTCCAGCCCTCTGATCATCTTTGTGGCCCTTCTCCAGGCTCCAACACATCCATGTCCTTATGCTGGAGGTCCCAGAGCTGGATGCAGCTCTCCAGGTGGGGTCTTACAAGAGCAGAGGGGCAGAATCACCTCCTTTGACCTGCTGGTAATGCTTCTTTTGATGCAGTCTAAAATACAGTTGACTTTCTGGGCTGCAAACTCACATTGCTGGCTCATGTTGAGCTTTTCATCAGTCAATACCCCCAAGTCCTTCTCAGTGCTACTCTCAAGATTTAGATTAGGGAATGCCCCTGTAGTGCATGTGTTCCCTGTTTGCATCCAGTGAACTGAGGTTTTCCTCCCTGGGGATTTGCACATTAACTTGCACCTTCTCTGGCCATGCTGCCAGCAGCCCAATGAATGAGCAGCTCTGGCCAGCTCAGCTTGGAGTGGGGTTTTGGTATTTATACAGACACATCAGAAGGGTGGAGAGGGAGGCAATGTGTGCGTACACTGCGCTTTTTCATTTGGCAGGTTTTGGGATGACTGCACGGTGCAGAAGGCCACATGCATGAAGGAGACTGCACTGTAAGTTGGGAGAATATCTGTGACCAGGCCAACTGTAAAGGCTGAATTATTTTTCTGGGAAGCCTCAGCTGCCAGATCCCTCCTGAGTAGATACCACATTACTCAATGCTCCTGCTCATTTCTGAGCTGAGGCTGCAGAAAGCAGGATGTCCCTGTAGCTTTCCGAGGGACCAGGCTGTGGCTCTGCATGCTATATAAAACCCACCTCTCCCATTCCCTTACCATCATCAAATACAGGATGGCAGTGACATTTTCCATCGGTGACTACAGTAATGCACTATGTGCAACAGGTACCCATGTTTTTTACTCAGTGTGATTTCAGCAGTGGCTGTGGCATTGCTTCCCTGGATAGGGGCTCATTCTCTGTATTCCCCAAGGCAAAGGATCGCAGAAACTGTACCTGACTTTGTGCACTCTGGCTCTTCTTTCTCCTGACTAGGATTAAAGTTGGGCCTGTCAAGGGGAGCAGCAAGTCAAGCCTGTTGGGATGAATCAACCCTGTAATATACTAGCTGATTTTAAGTTCTTTGCATTAACTGTGTCAGGGTTTTTTAAATGTTAAAAGGAAAGTGATCTAAATAGGAACCATAGGATAAGGGTAATCTGGGCTGTTTTGTTGGGGCAGTGGGGAGAGAGATGAGCTCTGTGAGGCTAACTCCTGAAAAGCCCCTCCTTGGTGAATGACAATGGTGAGACAAAAACAAAAACGTGGTCCCAGAGCGCAGGCTGGAGTGGGAGGGAACAAAAGGCCCGGCCACCGACATCTGCTGCCTCTGGCATCTCCCAGCATCTCCCCACTCTTCAGACACCTGGTCCCCATCCCCCTGCTCCCCATAGCCCCAGTCCTGCTGCGCTCCTGGGGGTAATCAGAGGAGAGGGAGGTGGTTAACCACTGAGGGAAGGCAAAAAGCAGCCAGGAGCTTAGTGAATTGTTAATGCCACAAACAAATATTGATTAGTGCTGAACTGCCCATTAAACAAAAGATCATTCACCAAGGGAGTCCTTCTTCAGAAAGACGTTTATTGGGGTTCCCAGTCTCCTACTCGCCTCCACAGAAAATGCTGGTGTTTGTTTCACCCCTTCAAACACAGTCACCATCACCCTCACTTCCCTTTCTCTCCTCACATCCTCTTGCACCTTCTCCCTTCTGGCTCTCCATAATGCACCTGGTGCAGGGCCTCGGGGATACGAGGGGTGTCAGGAGACTTGTACTCTACCTTCTGCTTTCCTTCTTTCTTGACCTCATGTAAAACACGTGAAGATTTTCAGTGGTACCAGGAACTGTGTTGTCATGGTGTCTGACTCAAGCTTTAAAAAGGCTTAACCACCACTGGTGAATGCCTTTTTTCTGAGAAGCTAGTCTCTCAAAGGTGCCTGGGGTTGGCTATTGGCATAAGGGGGTATGTGGGAGCATGAGACATGACCATC